TTGTGTCTTATTCTTTCGCCTTCCTCAGCTCTGTCTTCCCTCGCCTTCTCAGGCACCCTCCCCGTCCCACCTTTCCTCGCCCCGCTTTCACGAAATGCCTGCCCCTTTTCCGGGAGCCAAGCCCGGTTGACTTTTTCCTTCTTAGTTCACGCTCTCTCTCGCTCTCTCATTTTTTTTCCCTCAGAGGCCAACACGCGCACACACTCCTCTTCGAGGGGTGGGATCTCAACACGCCTGTTTTCTCCTCCGATTACACTGCCTTCTCTTTCCCTTCCTGGTCGTCACTCTCTCACACACACCTGCCCTTTTCGCCACCTTCACATCTATAGATCCTCCTCGCTCTGCAGTCCTGTAAAACTCTACAAAAACCCATTTCTGGAAGCCAGGCACAAGTAATTCATACCATTCCTGGCAGAGGTTGAAATGTGGCACCAGGATGACCCGGAAAAATGAGGTTTTTAAGCAGCTATCGAAGCCTCCACTCTCCCTTCACTGAGCAAATGTCTCTAGAACTTAAAAGCTCCACTGACCACGGTGTCTGTCATAATAATACCTACAGTGTTGTGCTCACTCCACATCATCCTTCCTGAAAGCTCCAGGTTTAGGGGAAGCCTGTAGTGAAGTGGTGACACTGTTACCTCATGTTTAGCTTCTGGATCACTAAGATCCGCTGGATCTTTTTAACATTTACTACTGTGAAACCAACTGCCGGGTAAAGAAAATGGCCACATCTGTAAATTTTAACTTCCTAAACACAGAACAGTATGTTTTCCCCTTTTGAAACTCATTTTGTTTTGGCCCTGTTTTTCAGTCTGTTAAGGTCTTCCTGAATCCTGATTCTGTCTCTTGAAATATTTAATGAGCATCCCCTCCAGACTCCCATCACAGTTATTGATTAAAATGCTGAACAACGCTGGACATAGAATAGAAACCTGTTGTTGTTTAGTTGTTAAGTTTTGTGTCCGACTCTTCATGACCCCATGGACCAGAGCACGCCAGACCCTCCTGTCTTCCACTGCCTCCCGGAGTTTGGTCATCCTGTGGTGCCCCACTAATCACTTGCCTCCAGGATGGGGTGGAATCATTGGCAAGCAATTTTGGGGGCTGGCTTGTCAACCCATTACAAGTCCACTTAAGCATCATCTAAGCCACATTTTACCAACACGGCCACAAGAATATAATGAGTGACCTTGTCAAAAGTCTTGCTGAAATCAAGACGGCATCTACCGCATACTCTTCATCAATGAAATTTGTTACTTTCCTGAAAAAGCAAACACCCTCTCTTAGATTATTTGTTTTAAGGAAAATAATATGGTAATTGTCCTGAGAGGGGCCCGGAGAAATTACATCAGTTTAAGAATTGGTAATCCAGACCTTTCTACCCATGTGCTGTTTGACAGGAGCACTCAGGGGTACACAGTCCCAACCTGCACAACCTTATCTTGGGAAAGGCTGGGCGGGTTTAAGATACAGTGGGGTCTTGACTTGAGAACTTAATCCGTATTGGAAGGCGGTTCACTTTCCTGAAAAAGCAAACACCCTCTCTTAGATTATTTGTTTTAAGGAAAATAATATGGTAATTGTCCTGAGAGGGGCCCGGAGAAATTACATCAGTTTAAGAATTGGTAATCCAGACCTTTCTACCCATGTGCTGTTTGACAGGAGCACTCAGGGGTACACAGTCCCAACCTGCACAACCTTATCTTGGGAAAGGCTGGGCGGGTTTAAGATATTGCTCTTTCCAAATCTACTCAGTGCTTTTGGGAAACAGGATATGTTCCCTATTCCATCTGGCTTTCCCACCAGGAAACGGCTAGTGGGGTTTATGGCAGTATTGTACATATAGAGCACCTCTAGGCAATAGCGCTTAATAATGAACATCCCCTCGCTTTGGGGTTTCCCCTGTATTTTGGTTGTGAGCTGTTCATAAGTATTTGTTTGGCCACTATGGGAAACTATAGTTTAGGATACTGGATTAGACAGTTCTTCAGTCGGATCCAGGATATATATATCCTGGATCCGACTGAGGAACTGTCTAATCCATATATATTTAATGATCTTCCAATAGCAGATAGTGAGAAGATGTTGGCCATAATTTTTGGCTTTATCAGCCAAAAAACATAAACCCCTTTTTCAATTGCCTCCATTTCCTGCTGCCCTTTCCCTTGCTTGATGTCAAATTCAGTGGGAGAGCGGTCACATTCTTCAGCCAGCTTTTAAAAAAAGCAATGTTTGTGGCTGAGATTATAAGCTCATAAAAACTAAAGTCCATAGCTGAAAGGGGGAATCCAGTGTCAGACCCAAAGTAGATCTACTGAGAAGAGGACTTGTTAGTCACAAATAATGTAAGTTGCATTGATTTCAATTGGTGTACTCCAGGTTGATCTGACATAGGATTTAGTCTATATTGTGATAACTCCTGAAGGACTTTAGCAGGTGACTATATTTCCCATCAGTTTCTGAAAACGCTTTGTTCCTCAGGCATTCACTTATCAAGACTGTCCAAAATGACACAGTTTTGGCGCCACACATGAGCACTAATCTTGCTGTTTGAAAACTAGATATGCCTGTGCTATAATCAGTGTTCTGATCTTACCTTGATGGATATTGCTTTCTACTGGGTGTTTTTCACTCTATGGGGGGGGGGAAGTCTTCCTCATCTTTTTGGGAATGGCAGACATTGTAACAAAGAGACAGAATAAATCTGAGGGCTGAGATTCTGTAGTCTGTCATTACATGGATTTGGTTCCTTAAAAAAAGAGGAAAATGAACTTTTTAAAAAAATGAGTATTTATAGCTGTGGGATCTGCTTTTGTCCTGTTCAGGAGACTGGGTGATTTTGACAAAAGCTGATCCCACAGCTATAAATACTCAACTATCCAAGCAAACTGCACCAGAGTACAGACAGAGTTCCTACTCCAGTCCTCTGAAGATGCCGGCCACAGAGACTGGCAAAACGTCAGGAAGAACAACCTTCAGAACACAGCCAAAGAGCCCAAAAAACCCACAACAACCACAGTTTTATTTGTTAGAAGCTTTGCTGTTATGCTAGTGATACTACTATACCCTGCTTGCATCCTTAAAAAATACCTTTGGAAAATATTTTGGAAAATTGAAAGAAAATGGTTGAAGATGTGAGGCTTTGTAGCGCAGAATAATTTGATGTGCATCAGATGCCACATGCAGCTGGCAGTAAAACTTGCATACCGCCATATTCCAGTGTTACATCTGTTTCCAACTTCGGCATAAATATTTAAGACCAAGGCATGTGACCACAGCTGTCTTACTTATTGTTGTTTAGTCGATAATTTGTGTCCGACTCGTGACCCCATGGACCAGAGCATGCCCGGCCCTCTTGTCTTCCACTGCCTCCCTGAGTTTGGTCAAATTCATGCTGGTAGCTTCGATGACACTGTCCAACCATCTTGTCCTCTGTTGTCCCCTTCTCCTCTTGCCTTCACACTTTCCCAACATCAGGGGCTTTTCCAGGGAGTCTTCTCTTCTCATGAGATGGCCAAAGTATTGGAGCCTCAGCTTCAGAATCTGTCCTTCCAGTGAGCACTCAGGGTTGATTTCCTTGAGAATGGATAGGTTTGTTCTCTTTGCAGTCCAGGGGACTCTCAAGAGTCTCCTCCAGCACCACAATTCAAAAGCATCAATTCTTTGGCGGTCAGCCTTCTTTATGGTCCAGCTCTCACTTCCATACCTCACTACAGGAAGAACCATCGCTTTGACTATTCGGACTTTTGTTGGCAAGGTGATGTCTCAGCTTTTTAAGATGCTATTGAGGTCTGTCATCGCTTTCTTCATAAGAAGCAGGCGTCTTTTAATTTCAGGGCTGCTATCACCATCTGCAGTGATCATGGAGCCCAAGAAAGTAAAATCTGTCACTGCCTCCATGTCTTCCCCTTCTATTTGCCAGGATGTGATGGGCCCAGTGGCCATGATCTTACTTTTTTTGATGTTGAGCTTCAGACCATTTTTTGCATTCTCCTCTTTCACCCTCATCAAGAGGTTGTTTAATTCCTCCTCAGTTTTTGTCATCAAGAGTGGTTTCATCTGCATACAGTATCTGAGGTTGTTGATATTTCTTCTGGCAATCTTAATTCCGGCTTGGGATTCATCCAGTCCAGCCTTTCGCATGATGTATTCTGCATATAAATTAAATAAGCAGGGAGACAATATACAGCCTTGTCGTACTTCTTCCCCAATTTTGAACCAATCAGTTGTTCCATTCCCAGTTCTAACTGTTGCTTCCGATCCAACATATGAATTTCTCAGGAGATAGATAAGGTGGTCAAACACTCCCATTTTTTTAAGAACTTGCCATAGTTTTCTGTGGTCTACACCAGTGGAAATGGAACTCTGCCCTCCACCATTGAGCAACAACCAGAAGAAGATGACATGATTGTATTTGAATAAATGTAGATTGTTGTACATCAGTGGTTCTTAACCTTTGTTACTCGGATGCTTTTGAACTGCAACTCCCAGAAACCCCAATCAGGACAGCTGGTGGTGAAGGCTTCTGGGAGTTGCAGTCCAAAACTCCTGAGTAACCCAGGGTTAAGAACCAGTGGTCTACACAGTCAAAGGCCTTTGTGTAGTCAATGAAGCAGAAGTAGATGTTTTTCTGGAACTCTCTGGCTTTCTCCATAATCCAGCGCAATTTAGCAATTTGGTCTCTAGTTCCTCTGCCTTTTCGGAATCCAGCTTGTACTTTCTGTAACTTTCCCTGTCTCCCTTGCATTTTGTTTCCCTTCTCTTCTCTGCTATTTGTAAGGCCTCACTGGACAGCTACTTTGCTTTCTTGCATTTCCTATTCTTTGCCTTGTTATGAGCTTCCAACGTTTAATGCGTTCCTATGGGCAAAAAACTCACCGTTATGCGGAAATCCTCCATGTGGCCGTCATTTTCGCTGCCCG